AGTCATCATCACTGTGATCTCGAATTGAAAGCCCGCTGTAAATCAGTGTGATTTCTCATCATCAACATGACTGTTCGTTTCCAATAAAGAAAATCTGCTAAAGCCCATTCGTGTATCTCCAACAAATGCAGAGTTTACCTGTTAGACTGCAATTATCCTGAGCGGATCTTAATTACAGTTCAAGCAGGTGCCATGCCAAAGATAGTGATGTTTTGTTTTTACAATTCAGAGTTTTCCTTCTATACAGGGTGACAGCCACGGCTAGACAGTTCAGTCTGACCAGCTGTTTACCGTATACTTGGTTGGCTCAGAGCATAGAATTTATGTTCCGGGCCATGGCTAGACAGTTCAGTCTGACCAGCTGTTTACCGTATACTTGGTTGGATCGGAGCATAGAATTTATGTTCCGGGCCACGGAGACAGTTCAGTCTGACCAGCTGTTTACCGTATACTTGGGTAGCATAGAATTTATGTTCGGGCCTGAGGACAGTCCAGTTTGACCATCTGTTTACCTATAGATAGGTGGCTTGAGCATAAATTTATGTTCCGGGCCACGGGACAGTTCAGTCTGACCAGCTGTTTACCGTATACTTGGGTGGCTCGGAGCATAGAATTTATGTTCGGGACACGGCTAGACAGCCCAGTTTGACCATCTGTTTACCTATAGATAGGTGGCTCAGAGTAGGTTTCGGGCCATGGCTAGACAGTTCAGTCTGACCAGCTGTTTACCGTATACTTGGGTGGCTCATAGAATTTATGTTCCGGGCCACGGCTAGACAGTCCAGTTTGACCATCTGTTTACCTATAGATAGGTGGCTCGGAGCACAGAATTTATGTTCTGACTAGACAGTCCAGTTTGACCATCTGTTTACCTATAGATGGGTGGCTCAGAGCATAGAATTTATGTTTCGGGCCACGGCTAGACAGTTCAGTCTGACCAGCTGTTTACCGTATACTTGGGTGGCTCGGAGCATAGAATTTATGTTCCGGGCCACGGCTAGACAGTCCAGTTTGACCATCTGTTTACCTATAGATAGGTGGCTCAGAGCATAGAATTTATGTTTCGGGCCATGGCTAGACAGTTCAGTCTGACCAGCTGTTTACCGTATACTTGGTTGGCTCGGAGCATAGAATTTATGTTCCGGGCCACGGCTAGACAGTCCAGTTTGACCATCTGTTTACCTATAGATAGGTGGCTCAGAGCATAGAATTTATGTTCCGGGCCACGGCTAGACAGTTCAGTCTGACCAGCTGTTTACCGTATACTTGGGTGGCTCGGAGCATAGAATTTATGTTCCGGGCCACGGCTAGACAGCCCAGTTTGACCATCTCTATAGATAGGTTTCGGACCACGGCTAGACAGTTCAGTCTGACCAGCTGTTTACCGTATACTTGGGTGGCTCGGAGCATAGAATTTATGTTCCGGGCCACGGCTAGACAGTCCAGTTTGACCATCTGTTTACCTATAGTTAGATGGCTCGAAGCATAGAATTTATGCTCCGAGCTATGCTAAAGATGGACTTCTCAAGGGTATTTGTATGAAAGTGAGTGCCACGATACCGACCAGGATTCGGACCCGATTAGCCAGCCATTGTCTCGTTTTGATCCTCTAGCCGTTACACCATTTACACAACCTTCTGCTCAACACTAACCCGAAAGAAATGATTTTGGATTTTTGAAAATAATTATTTCATCTCCAAGCAAGGGGATAATGCCACCATGACGCAAGAGGTTACTGAAGAAAATGAGAAGACATTAGTGAAAAAATAAAAAGGACAATAAAAGAACAGGTTTAAGGAAGATGGCGATATACGCTGCATTTAAAATTTTGAAATATTTTAGGCGGCAGGAAAGTAGACTTCCACATCCGAGAAGTCCGAGAAAAGAAACCTTTAGAATATAAATTACGGTTAGATTTACCTATTTCAACAATAAAACGATGAGACCTAATTGCCATTCTCGTAGCATGACTAAATTCTTATCATTTGTCGGAATTACTTTTATTCCTCAAGCGTTTTAGTTCTGTTGGTGGAAAATATTTCTCTGGAAATAATAAAGATATTCTTATGTATCATAATTCGCGGACATAATCTTGCCTATTAAAATTAAAGAGGTGTGTTTAAAATGGGTATATTTGTCGGAGTTACTTTTAGTCTTCACACTTTTTCAGTTCTATTAACGGAGAACCATTTTAGAGAAAAATTCGCAAATGCGAAGCAACTGGTGTTGATTCCATTTCCGCTAATTTCTCGTGTTTCTTATTCAATTCAATAATTTATTATTTTAGTGGAACATTGCACGGTGGACCTGTCAAAGCCAGGCGAGGCTAAAGGAAATTGGATTATATGCAACTCCACCCGGATCTCGTGAATTCTATTCATATTGAAACGAAGAAAGAGCAAAAGAAAGAAAAAGGAAAAACGAACACTGCGATTTTTTTTTTATTTATTACAAATAACGTAGCCGCCGGGAGCGAAGTTTTGAAGATAAATTGTTTGAATCACAGAAAGGATGTATATATGTCTCCAATAAAGATTCCGGAAGGACTTTTTTTTTTTTTTCTTCTGTTTTTGCACTAATCCCGACATTGGACTTCAGAATAGGAAAAGCTTTTGTTTTGAAGCATTTCACCCAATGCAAGGCGTTAACTTTTGGGAGACGACAGGGCCGATATATCGGTCGAAAAGTTGGGATGCAAGATTAATTTCAACTCGGAATTAATTTCAACTCGGAATTAATTTCAACTCGGAATTAATTTCAGCAAACTTTCAAACGAAATTAAAATTTAATTCATTGATTTTCTTTAAATTTTGATCAATAACGGCTTCTTTTGAACGAGATTTTTTTTTTACAAAAACAAAAAAAAATATATACAAAAAAAACAAATGCTAAGCAATCTACTGTTCTTGCTACAAAGAACATTGTATTTTTATTGAAACGGATTTAAATGAATAAAAGTAAATAAAAATGTACCACTTTATTCATTTGCAAAAAAAAAGATAAAAAAAAAATAAAAAAAAAATAAAAAAATAAAAAATAAAGAATGAAAGTTGATGAATTATGAATTATCTTATCAGAATTCATCTTTTCTGAAACTTTAAATTTTAACTCGGAACTAATTTCGAATCGGAAGTAATTTCAACTCGGAACTAATTTCAACTCGTTTTAAAAGCAAAGTTATCAATTTCCGTGAATTCCTAAACAAAATGCAATGAGTTGGTGTTAATTTTTTAATTTAGGATTTGTGGGTAATAAATAATACCTTGCTTCATATATGAAACAATGTTTTGTACCAAAATTAATTAAGATATGGTGTTGGGATCCAGGGGCAGCAAGTGAAGCCAACGTATTCGTCGTCATCCGTCCGTCTCGAGAGACGATGGAGTAGTGCGATGCGCTACGAGCCTGGGCGGGATATATGGAGAACTAGGGCTGCCCGGACGTCTAGTTCCCCCTCTCGGCCTTGCTAGCAGAGTCCAAAGGAGAGGATAAACCAATACAGTTTGGTACCAGCGCAGGAGTTGCCGGAAGGTAGCACAAAGTGCCGTCCATCCGCCTTCGGGGCTCCACTCCGGGTTTGAATTCAGAGTTGTCCTTCTCCTAGACCAGTTGCCAATCAAGGCTATAGAACTCAGTCTACCCTGTCCTGCTATTTATCCATAGCTGGAGGGAGAAGCAGAAGATTCACACATTTCCCAAAGGTATTAGCACGTAAGTGAATGTAATGGATTCGAATGGAATTCGAACTCGGCTCTCTGATTTCTCAACCCAAGCCGTTATCCATTACGCCACCGCGTCTGCTCTCAACGTATGAAAGAGATAAAAACCGACGTGTACAAACAAGATGAAAAATAAACAAAAAGTGGTAAGAAAAAAGTACTATTGTAAAGTTGTAATTTTGACTCACAAACACCCCCCCCAAAAAAAAACAGCTGAACTTGTTTATTCTCACTTATCAGAGCTCAACCGAGGACAAAGATATGCACAGCGATAAAAACACTAACATTATATAAAATATGTAACAATTACAAATTAATTATATTAAAGCCTAACAACCACTCCTACTTATAGAGAGATGGCAGGTAGGACTTTGTATAAATTGATTCCAACATCTTTTTTTTTTCAATTAATGTATCCCAAGAAAGATAATAATGCCACTAAGGCACAAGGAGCTACTGGGAGTGAAAGAGAAGAAAAAGCAACCGGAAACCCAATCCTAATCAGGAAACAAGGGATAAACAATCTACTCATGTTAAAAAAAAAAAAAAAGAAAAAAAAAACCGCGGACAAGTGTGCATTTGGACGATAGGCGAACATATCTCCATGTTTCTGTTATGAAGCACGACGGCTTTTAGACTCCTGGATGATGTGTCAATCAAGTGGCGCCACTCGCCGGGGTTGCAGCCGATTCCACTTGCCTCGAACAGACCCGGTTACATTGTCGTCGTAGCAAAGCCGAGTGAAAATCTTGAAAAACACTGTTGACGCTTTCACTGACCCGGGACTTGCATACTTTCATCTAACAGATTCCACTGCTTGATATCCAGGTCACAAAAGCCAAGTTTGAAGTGAATAATAGTAATTTCCTTTGCTTTCGGAAGTAATACTCACTGAATAAAGATTTTTAAAAAAGTTAAATTTTCAGAGTTTACGCGGAGACAGACGTTAGAAATATAGAGTTGAAATAAACTTTAAAAGCAAACGGAAATCGAATCCTAAACACGAAACAAGAGAGTTTGATCGATTGAATTGTTTTTTACGACTTATCAACCCTTTGGGGCTATTTATAACCGAAACTTATTTGGGATTGTAAGAATAATCCTTTTATGACGGTTGAATATGGCTTTATCAATTATTTGAAAATAACAATAAAATCTTTCCTGATACACGTCTTACTATTTAAACCATAGCTGGGAGAATCCGACTGGATATTGAATTGATTTCATATTCTAGGTCGTTATCATTTACAAAAGTTGCAAGAGCCATGATCCCACATGTACTGAAGGAGCAGGGCACAAAGAAGAAGGAGGAGGAGGAGGAGGAGGAGGAGAAGAAGAAGAAGGAGGAGAAGAAGGAGGAGGAGGAGAAAAAGAAGAAGAAGAAGACGGAAGCGAAGTAGTGAGAAGAAAAAGGTACAGAAGAAAGAGTAGACAAAAAGAAAGTAGACAAAAGAAAAAGAAAACAGTATAGAAGCAAATTATCAAACATCGAAAAAAGAAGAAGAAGAAGGAAGAAGAAAAAGAAGGAGGAGAAGAAGAAGAAGAAGAAGAAGAAGAAGAGGAGGAAGAAGAAGAAGAAGAAGGAAGAAGAAGAAGAAGAAGAAAAAGGAGGAGAAGAAGAAAAGAAGAAGGAGGAGGAAAAGAAAAGGAGGAGACAAAAGTAAAAGAAAAGAAGAAAAAAGACAGAAAATTAGTAGACAAAAAAAGTAGACAAAAGAAAAGAAAACAGGATAGAAGCAAATTATCAAACATCGAAAAGAAGAAGAAGAAGAAGAAGAAGAAGAAGAAAAAGAAAAAGAATAAGAAATGTGAGAAAAAGCAATTATATAAACGTGCTTAAGCTATAATAGTGATCGTTTGATCATCATGTATGTCCGTAACGGAAAGATTTCTGTTTGTTTTCGATCTTTGGTTCCGAAAAGAAAAAAAAATAACGCATGTGTGCTTTTAAGGAAGGGAGATAACTTTGTTGTTTCGAAGCAAGGTTTATAAACACTGCCAGTTTGCATCAAAAGCCTCGATATGAATACGCTTGACGCCATGTTGTTGTTACTGCTTCATTTTGTTTTTCTTCTGAAGAAAGAAGAAAACAAAAGTAAAAGAAAATGTAGATAATTATATATTATTAGCTTTTGAAGAAAAATCCATTTCATTTGTTCTGTGTAAGTTTCTTCTTGTTTTTGTTTTTGGGCCTCTTTTTTCTTCTTTCGCCGTTTATTTCTTCACTGCTTCTTTTTTTTTTTTTTTTTTAACTTGCCATTTCAAATTTTTTCTTTCATTTCTCCTTCTTTTTCATCTTTTTCTTTCAATAACAACCTCGTTGGTTTTTTTTTTCTTCTTGTTCTAATCTTTTTTCTTCATTCGCTGATTCTTTTTATTTTTCTGCCTTTTCTTCTTCATTTTCGTTCGCTGATTCTTTTTATTTTTTCTTCTTCTTTTTTCTACTTTTTCTTTTTCTTCTTCGTTTTCGTTCGCAGATTATTTTTCTTTTTCTTTCTCCTTTTTTCTGCTTCTTCTGCTTTTTCTTCGTTTTCGTTTGCAGATTCTTTTTATTTTTCTTCTTCTGCTTCGCTTTTTTATTCCAATCTTTCTTCTTGTTTTTCTTCGTTCGCCGTCCATTTTATTTTTCTTCTTTTTCTTCTGCTTCTACTCATTTTCTTCTTTTTTTTTCCTTCTTTTTCGCGATTTTTTTTTTACTTTTCTTCTGCTTCTTCTTTGTTCAGCGATTCTTTTTATTTTTCTTCTACCTTTTTTCTGCTTCTTCTTTTCTTCTAATCATTCTTCTGATTCTTCTTATTCGTTCGATAAATTCTTTTTCTATTTCTTCTTCTTTTTTCTTCTGCTTCTTGTTCTGTATCTTTTTCTTCTTCCAAACTTTCTTTTTTTCTTCTTCTTCGACGATTCTTCTTATTCTAATCTTTGTTGCTATTGCTGTTCTTCTTCTTCTTCTTCTATGCTTTTTATTTTCTTCTTCTTCTTCTTCTAATCTTTGTTGTAATTGTTGTTATAGTGTTTCTTCATTCTTCTTCTTCGCTCGCCGATTCCTTTTATTTTTCTTCTTCTTCTTTCAAATAACAACCTCGTTGCTTCTTCTCCATCTTTTTCTTCTTTAAATAATTAATCGAAAACTAGGCGTAAAATTCACATGATATTTGGTACTTAAAATTAGATACACATTCATTTATATACAATAGATTTTACAATTAAAAAATCAACAAAAACTTCAGAAACGCTATGTAGCTGTGAACCTTAAGTTCCCCCTCAGGCTTATAGTTGAAATAGGCTCTCCACAGCTTCTTTTTCTGATCGTTAAAACTTAAACAATTAAGGGATTTTCAATCCGACATTATTTCTCGCTAATAAAAACCTTTCTATTTAGTGGTTGCACGTGTTTGAGTAGACGTACATATTTTTTCCCTTATTAAGCAGTGAAATCGACATTTAGCTCCCCGGGAAGATGGAATTCTTTTTTTTTTTTTTTAAGCGTTTCACCCCAAGCAAGGCGGAAATCCACTCGGACGCAAGGGGTTACAGAAAATTTAGAGCAAGATCAGATAGGAGTGATAGAAGGAAGGATGAATAGAAAGGTAGTGGGCAGATCAAGGCAACTGGAGTTGTCGATTGACATTACATTTGAATATCTGGAGATTATAGCTCACAGGGAAACTGGAATAGGGAAGGGAGTTCCACAGGTGAGAGGTGCGAGACATGAAGCTATTGGAGTAGAAGAGACGGCTACATTTAACAGTTTCGACAGTGAAGGGGTGAGAGCGGGATGCCAGCCTCATAGGGCGCTTGAACTCATGAAGTCTGGGAACCAGCGAATGCAGCTCCTCGGAGCAATTACCATGAAAGTATTTGTAGAACAGACAGAGAGAGGCGACGGCGCGTCTGTGAGAAAGTGACTGTAGACGAGATGCCAGAGCAGGGCCAATTATATTGCATATCCGCCTCTGGAGCCTATCAAGAACCCCGAGGCAAACAGAAGGGGCACCAGACCATATATGGCAGCAATACTCCATGCAAGGGCGAATTGTTGATTTGTAGATCTGGAGGATCGATTCCGGGGAGAAAAATTTCCTGGCGCAGCACAGGGAGCCAACTTTCCTATGGTTTTGCCAGGAATGCTGGTTCCTTTTCTTGCCGGCAGGTACTCTTTATTCAAAACCTTCGGTGCTCCAGGCTGGTCGATATCAATTTCACTGCTATTAAAAAGAAACTGAATTGTTTACTCAAACGATTATACCTTATTCTGTGTATATGCATCAGAATCAGAAAAAAGAGAAAAAGCAGAAGAAAAAGAATAAAAATGTTGAAACAGAGGATCGCAGCGAACCACTTACTTGACAGGAGACACGTGAAGTAACAGAAATATGGTTCTACAGAAGGATGCTGAGAATGCTCCAGATCGAAAATGCGAGCAGTTTTAGAGGAAATGGAAACAAAAAAGGACACTTATACTTAACTTCAGGGAGCGACAGTTAAACATTTCTAGGGTAGATAGAGGAAAGAGAACTTAGAAAATTAGACACTCACAGGACGCATCGATGGTAAGAGTGACGGAGGAAAACCACACATAACCTACCCGACGAGCTTGAGGGAATGGAACAGAGTTTGGCAGAGATGGCGAAAAGATAAAATTTATTGAGAGCTACAAAAGACAGGAAATCTTGGAGAGTCGCGATCGCCAAAGTCCCGAGGGGACACGGCGCACAGAAGAAGAAGAAGAAGAAGAAGAAGAAGAAAAAGAAGAAGCGTCGTTGGTTTAAGACAAAAGAGGGGACACCCAGAAAAGATCGAACGCAGTGCTCAGTAACAATGATAGAACCAGATAGAACCATTTGACTGCTTCTTGCGTAGTAATGTGGATGTGCGGTTGGTGTAATGAATGAGAAGTCGGAGGCCCGAGTTCGAATTCCAGTTGGGCGCGTTGCATTCACTTACGCGCAATTTCCCCTGGGAAATGTATGAATCCGTCTCCCCTCAAAGATATGGGTTAAATAGTAGGATTTGACTCTGGCAAAATCATTATTATTCACAAAAATATTTAATGTCTACATTCCCATTTTTTAGTCCAAATTTATTTTTACAACCTAGCATGTGTTTCGGCTTTAGATAAACCCCACACTTGTAACAAAAAAAAAAATCACTTAATGAGAAGATTTGATATAATCTGAACATTTTTCAATTATGCGAACAAAATACATTCTAATTTCCATCAGTGACATTTCTGATGTCATCAGTTCTCAACTCATGATGAATAACACAACTATTTAGGCTAGATCGATTCGATAAGTTTAAACTGGCAGCTGATGTGAAAAATGATCTACAGTCTGTCGTTAGTTGGGGCAAGAATGACTTGTTAATTTTAACACCTCCAAAACGAAACTGTTGTTCAGACCTTCACAGCATATCTCAGCGTCACCTGTTTTACTTGGTGGTGTCCATCTCCGTTCAAAGTAGCATGTGACAGATTGTAATATGTTATATGCTACCAGCAGCAAGGATGATCTCCGTCCTCCTAAATTATCAAACGCCCTGTTAGTCTCCTGAAGTCTTTGTTGTAGGAAAAGATCTATTGTCAAATCATTCATATATTTGTACTTACGTTGTTCCTATTTTTCATCAATAACCTTCATGATGTCATCAGTTCTCAAATCGTTATCTATAAAAACAACTATTTACACCTGTCTCAATGGTAAGTTTAATCGGTTTTGTAAGGTAACATTGGCAGCTGATGTGAAAAATGATCCACAATTTGTTGTTAGTTGGAATATAAAACAGGAACAGTACGAATTCTCTCGTTACAAACGGAATCAGAAAAATTAATGTAATTCAGATAACATATTAGCATCAACCCACAACAAAAAAAAGAAAATAAACGACACTTTTTAAAATCAAATTGGTGTTTTCAGTGACCCATTAGATTGTCGGAGTGTCGTGTTGAGTAAATCTCCTTCATATATTGACATACACATCCCTTTGGACATTTTTGGCAGATGACCAACGGGAAAATAATAAAGACGATCAAAGCGCCACACATCGACGGAATCAATTGGGAATTTACCATTATTCATCCCTGGAATCTGTAATAGAAAAAAACCGGTAAGAATTCTCTTGAAAAAACCAGAATCAGAAAAAAATGAATATAAGATATTGGCATCAACGCACAAAAAAAGGAAAATAAAACACACTTTTTAAAATCAACTTGGTGTTATCAAAGACCCATTAGATAGTCAGAGTGTCGTGCTGAGTAAATCTCATTAATTTCATATCTTATCGCAATCTACTTTTTTTTCGTGGTGTCCATCTCCATTCCAAGTAGCATGTTATATGCTACCAGCAGCAAGGATGATCTCTGTCCTGCTAAATTATCGAATGCCCTGTTAGTCTCCTGAAGTCTTTGTCGTAGGAAAAGATCTATTGTAAAATCATTCATATATTTGTACCAACGTTGTTCCTATTTATCTTCAGTAACCTTCCTGATGTCATCAGTTCTCATGAGTTCCCTTCCTTGATACCACAAACGCATGAATTCAAGCGTATTACTAGATTGGCTATTAGGTCTCATCGTTTTAACGTTGAAATAGCAAGATGTAACCCTAAGTCCTATTCTAGTAGATTCAATTCTTGTACGTCTCACCTGTGGAATTTTCTTCCGATTTTTTTCACTTCCCTGCCACGTACAATCTTTAAAAATATAAATGTAATATCAATCTCCATCAACCCACAAAATAAAAAATAAAAAAAATAAAAGACACTTTTAAAAATCAAATTGGTGTTTTCAGTGACCCATTAGATTATCGGAGTGCCGTGCTGAGTAAATCTTCTTCATTGCCTATCTCAGAGCAATATTTATTACTTGCTGGTGTCCATCTCCGTTCCAAGTAGCATGTGACGATTTCTGTTCTGCTAAATTATCGAATGCCCTGTTAGTCTCCTGAAGTCTTTGTCGTTGGAAAAAAATGTATTGTCAAATCATTCATATATTTGTACCAACGTTGTTACTGTTTTTCATCAATGTCCTTCCTGATGTCATCAATTCTCAATGCGGTATCCATGCTGATGACAAAACTATTGACTCCTGTCTTAATAGTCAGCCTGATCGGTTCGATAAGGTCAAATTGGCAGCTGATCTTAAAAATGACCTACAAACGGAGCAAGGAGTTGCTTAACGCTTCCGAAGTGAAACTACTCTCTTTTAATCGACTGAGAGAACCCTTTTTACCTTACATCAGCATAGCTGGTGTTAACCTCCAGGACAGTGACTTGTTGAGCCTTCTCGGACTTACGTTTCAAGCTGGCATGAAGAGAAAATAGTCTATAGAATCAATTGCTAAGTTTGCAGCGAAGAAACTTGGTTCGTGCTAGACAATTTTTTTCTTGCCAGAATATGTCTTATATATTTACAAAACATTCTCGACTCTTAGACTATATTAGGAATGTCTAATTCGACAACCAAGGATCATCGATAAGAAATCAATAAAAGCCGGTGCCAATCAGCTCCATGTGTCGAAGTCGACCAAACAGATGTGAGCTGCCCGAGATCATCAGTCACAAGGTTATGGCAAGAAAAGGGCTATGGGCCTCTGACAACAATGTGTCTTCAGTGGTCAAAAGGAAATATCCTCGACGGTCAGACTATATAAGGAATGTCTAGACTATGTTAGGAATGTGTTGTAGAGTGGTTTCACAGTGGAGGCTTGTATTTCTCTAAGTCGGTCCTAAAAAAGGTTCGGCGTACAAAACGTTAGGAACTTGAAATAATAGTTAATGACGCAGCAATCTAGTTGTGGTGGTTGATACTTTAATGTCAGACATCGACTAACTCACCAACTCACTGAGCCCACTGGCGACTGCTACTACTACTACTAATTGTATGTGGGAGAGTCTATTAACAATAGAAGAGGTATGTTCCAGTATAACAGAATGTCACCAAGGATTATCGATAAGTACCGGGGAAAATCAATAAAGGCCGTTGCCAATCAGCTCCATGTGTCGGAGTCGACCGATCAGACGTGGGCTACCCGAAGTCATCAGATACAAATCATGTGTTATGTGGAGAGGGCAGATCATGTTTAATAGCATCCGTGGTCATTAAACGGTGTTATTTGGTCGAAGCGTTTGTTTGCTAAAGTCAAACAATTTCGCATAACCATTCCTTCGTCCTTGCTTTGAATATTGCTGCCACGTTTTCCCTCTGGTGTTCCTGCTATAGACGAGATTCTTGAAGCCTAAATAAGAATCAAATAATGTTAATGGTCCTGCCCTGGCATCTCGGCTTCAGTTCCTTTCCCAGCGTCGCAGCGAAGATTTCCTGTGAGGTTTCTATAAATATTTTCATAGTGATTTTTCTGGTGAAATTTCCACTATGGTACCTAGACTTTATGAATTTAAGCGCTGTAACAGATTAGTGAAAAGGTCTCATCATTTTACAATTGAATGGCTATATATCACCGTAAGTTCTATGATTACTAAAAGAAAGAAAGGAAAGAAGAAGAATGTCAAAGAAATCCAATGAGAGAAGAAGAAAAAGTAGAAAAGAAAAACTGATGGTGAAGGGGTGGTAAGTGAACAAAAGTAAACGAAAAGGCACAAAAAATGAATAGAGAAGGAGAGTAAGTGGACAAAAAGAAAGAAAGAAAGAAAAAGTGGAAGACGGTAAACAAAAAAGGCACAACAATTAATAGAAAAGGAGAGTAAGGGGACAAAAAAAAGAAAGAAAGAAAGAAAGAAAGAAAGAAAGAAAAAGTTGAAGACGGTAAATAGAAAAGGAGAGTAAAGGGAACAAAAAGAAAGAAAGAAAGAAAGAAAAAGTGGAAGACGGTAAACAAAAAGGCACAACAATTAATAGAAAAGGAGAGTAAGGGGGCAAAAAGAAAGAAAGAAGTGAATAAAAGTAAACGAAAAGGCACAAAAAATGAATAGAGTAGGAGAGTAAGTGGACAAAAAGAAAGAAAGAAAGAAGTGGAAGACGTAAACAAAAAGGCACAACAATTAATAGAAAAGGAGAGTAAGGGAACAAAAAGAAAGAAAGAAAGAAAGAAAAAGTGGAAGACGGTAAACAAAAAAGGCACAACAATTAATAGAAAAGGAGAGTAAGGGGACAAAAAGAAAGAAAGAAAAAGTGGAAGACGGTAAACAAAAAAGGCACAACAATTAATAGAAAAGGAGAGTAAGGGGACAAAAAGAAAGAAAGGAAGAAAGAAAGAAAGAAAAAGTTGAAGACGGTAAATAGAAAAGGAGAGTAAGGGGACAAAAAGAAAGAAAGAAAGAAAGAAAAAGTGGAATACGGTAAACAAAAAGGCACAACAATTAATAGAAAAGGAGAGTAAGGGGGCAAAAAGAAAGAAAGAAAGAAGTGAATAAAAGTAAACGAAAAGGCACAAAAAATGAATAGAGTAGGAGAGTAAGTGGACAAAAAGAAAGAAAGAAAGAAGTGGAAGACGTAAACAAAAAGGCACAACAATTAATAGAAAAGGAGAGTAAGGGAACAAAAAGAAAGAAAGAAAAAGTGGAAAACGGTAAAAAAAAAAGGCACAACAATTAATAGAAAAGGAGAGTAAGGGGACAAAAAAAGAAAGAAAGAAAAAAGAAAGAAGGAAAAAAAAAAGTTGAAACAATAAATAGAAAAGGAGAGTAAGGGGACAAAAAGAAAGAAAGAAAAAGTGGAAGACGGTAAACAAAAAAGGCACAACAATTAATAGAAAAGGAGAGTAAGGGAACAAAAAGAAAGAAAGAAAGAAAGAAGGAAAGAAAAAGTTGAAGACGGTAAATAGAAAAGGAGAGTAAGGGGACAAAAAGAAAGAAAGAAAGAAAAAGTGGAAGACGGTAAACAAAA